TGGGCTATAGAAATATCTGGGGTGGGCTGGATGGAATTTTATCAAAATAATACCTTAAAAATATTAATTTTTTTTACTTTGCCCTGGGCTTCAGCCCACCATAGTCCTAACATAGATCCTCCCCTGGTTACGTTCCGTCCATAGGCTCATCTTCTTTGGTTCTTCGGCTCGTGATGCAATCTCATCAGATGGCTGGAGACCCTCTAGTGGAAATATATGCTGCAACCTCTTACTTTCTTCACTTGCAGTCGTAGTCATATCATTAGCTGATGAATTGTCATACTTTGGAACCAGTGCTGCTAATTTCCTTTGCATGTTTTGCAGTTTCAGACCTAACTTCAATAAACCGCTTGGCATATTTGGCATTAACATACAAAGTAAAACGGAGAAGAGTGATATTAGCCACTAAAATACTAACATGGAAATCAAATCTGAAATATGAAACTGTATTTAGCTCTCTTCGTTTGAGGATAAAAAAACACATTGCAAGAAACCATTTGGATCATTAGTAACACCCATCATCTAATTATAATCGCATCTTCTTTTTCATAAATGGTTCTTATTAAAAGTGTGTTTGGTTAGGAATTAAGAAATGAGTTCAAAGAGGTAAGATATATATATATATATAGAGAGCTTGGTTCAAATGAGAATGTCATCTTAGGAGAGAAATGAGAACGATCTCACACCGTTAGATCAATCCTTTTTTAATTATACTTTTCCTAACGCAGAGGCCTAAACTGGTTATTTTATATTCCTTTCCACTTTATACGGAGCTTGCAGTTACACTTCCCATTATTTACGTGATTCGCAACGTGCATAACTTCGGAAAGTTATCATTTTTTTAGATTGCTTACCTTTTTCTTTTTTATATACTATCGTATTTATGAAGTATTCATTTCAACTCTTTCCTTTAAGCGTTAACCTAAAAAAGATGGTTTTGTTTTATAACCAATTTTACTTTTAAAATTAATAAATTGTTTTAACCCGTACTTTTTTTCATTCAACAGTCGTGTTTTTTATTTGATTATATTTCATTTGACATTTACTATCATGATCTTCCAAAAAAACATTGACTATCCTGATCTATAGAACCTTTGCTCCATAGGTATTGCTTTTAAATGAGTTTTTTCATTCTATGCTTTTTAACGATTTTAAACGTAGGTTTTGGTTCAAATAAGAACATGATCTTAGGAAAGAATGAATGAATTTGAACCGTTAGATTTGTTTTAAGTGAAATTCAATGTGCATTAGATGAAACTATGATGTGCATTAGGTGAAATTGAAATGTGATGCACCAAGATTACGATACAGTGGCATGTGAAGCTGAATTGTGCATTAGGTGAAATTAAAATGTGCACTAGGCGAAACTGAAATGTGCAGAATAAAAAGTACGATGTGATGTTATATTTGTACGTTTTATTCCGCACATTTTAGTTTCACCTAATGCACGTTTGAGTTTAAATTTTTATTTTGCACATTTCAATATTATCTAATGCACATTTCAATTTCACCAAATGCACAATTCAGTTCCACATAATACAATTCAACGGTCCAGATTCATTCTTATTTCTCTCCTGGGAGTCCGTTCTTAAACGTATTGATATACTTCGTATAATTGAAGATAATATAGTCTATGTTTCAGACATGCTCTTTACTTTTTTATTATTTGTGCATGTAATTATTTAAAATAAATGTGCCAATTTGAAAGGGGAAGTGACAAAGTTATTATATTGGGACAACCACAAAAGGAAAGTTGGCAAAGTTATAAGGGACATATATAGGGAGTATTATATACAAAGTGCATAACGATTGAAATAAAAGTGCATTATCTTTACTATTAAAATTCACTTTAGAAACCTCCGATAAGCATGAAGGGCAAGCATAGGGTAATGTATGATAATTACATTATGCCTTGTGTAAAAGTGCAAACTTATATGTTCATTATGCATGGTGAAAGTTTATTTGTTAAAACTTAATGATTTATTAAAAGGATTTTGAATTAGGAAAAGTTTGTTTGATTGAAAATGTGCACTAAAATTCTTAGCTACACAAATTGCACTATTAGTAATCTTGTATTAGGAAACAAAAATGTATATGCATTATTAGTCACACGAATTGCACTAATATTATTAGATTAAGTCATTGCACTATTTGACAAACTCAACACTTAGATTAAGCATTCTTGTATATGCATTATTAATGGCATGTATATACATTAATTCTTATAGATAGTGCAACATTCCTGCATGACAAAAAGTTTTGTTGCATAGAGCCATTAATGAGGCTTGAGGCATGATATACTGACACGTTAAAAAACTTACGTGAGTAATTATTAGTTGGGGGTAAATTAAAATACAAAAAGTAATTTGGCTGATTCTTAAAATGGAAACTCCGAATTGTGATAACTAACTTTCTCATTGTAATGGCAGCACGTGGATTTATGTAATGCTGTGTCATAACCGTTGTATTTTTCTTTGACCTAAATACCCTTCACATATCATTACTCATGCGTTGTTACCATATTTAGAAGCACGCGTGTTGTTTTAGATTTCTTTATTTCAACCGTACGATTCAAGGTATGAATGGTTAGATGTTATTCTTATTTCTCTCCTTAGAGGTTGTTCTCACTTGAACCTTCCCCTATATATATATATATATATATATATATATATATATATATATATATATATATATATATATATATATATATATATATATATATATATATATATATATATATTACTCTGTTTTGATGTCCTAAAAGTGTGTGAAAACCAATGAATTATGACTAAGTTGGTGATGTGGCGGATTAATTTTGGGATCATGGTTGGGTGATGGAGATTATTTAGTGAGATTATTTGAAAAAATAATGCGGGATTGAAATATAAATCTAGATTATTTCAAGATCATTCTTAATCTAGTATTAATTGGTGAGTAATGGACCCGCAAAAAATATGATTATTTTGAGATGATGAATGGCGTGATTTAAAAGGTGTGAAATTATTTTGAAAAAATCTATGTGTCACAAAAAAATCGGTTTATTTAAATATCATGAATGTGGATGCTCTTTAGACCAAATGGAGTGGTGAGGTATTAGGAGTCCAAAATGTTAAAATGGCATTTTTGGACTCCTAATTTCATACATTGGTGGAGGGTAGAGGGTATTAAAAATAGGTTTGGGGAGGGAAGGGGTTAAATTTGGAGGAATTTTGGACAGCCAAAAAGAAAAAGGAAAAGAGAAGAAAAAGGGGAGTGGGGCATACCTGCTGTGCGCAGGCGGGGAGCAGGGCTGGTCTTCGAAATAATTTCCATCGCTGACATCATGATGACGTCAGAATGATGTCAGCATGCACTAGCAACTTTTTTTTAAAAAAAAAACTTTTGATAGATCCAACGGCTGTGATGATCTTGGCATTGTTTGAACGTGAAAAAATGATCCAACGGCTGAAATTTAAATCCAACGGTTCAAATAATTTATTTTATTTTTCAATTATTTTTTAATAATATTTTGCTCGGAAATCCTATATAAACACCTCATTCCTTCTCATTTTAATCACACATCTCTCACCTCTCTCATTCTTCTTCATATTCTTTCACAATATTTTTGTTATGTCTTCCTCAAGAAGGGGTGTTAATTGGAGTGCTAAAGAGGATGTTGTTCTATGCAACGCCTGGGTCACCATATCCGAAGATGGTGCCATTGGAATAAATCAACCGGGGGAGACTTTTTGGGGCCGAATTCACGAGATATTTTCGGCACAAAGTCATGTTCCTCGAACTCGAGATTCAATTGAGTCCCGTTTTAAGATCATCAATAATCAATGTTCTCTATGGAAAGGTTGTGTGCGGAAAGCAAACGCAACCTCGAGGAGTGGGTCGAACCTAGACGATTTGATAATTTCTAAACTACTCTATTATTTGATTTTAATTCATAAAGTATATATTAATATATTTTCGAAATATGTATAACAATATTAATATTTTAGAGTATATTAGTATATATTCGTATAATATTAAGTATATATATAACTATGTAATTAAAGCATTTATATATATATATATATATATATATATATATATTCGTATGATATTAGTATGATATTAGTATATAATTACTATATATTAGTTATTAAATTAGTATATATATTCGTATAATAATAGTATATATATTCGTAATATATATTAGTTATATTAGTATATATATATATATATATATATATGTTATATTAGTGTATATATAAAATATTAGTATATATATTCGTATAATCGTAGTTATATATATTAGTTATATTAATTAGTTATATTAGTTAGATTAGTATACATATTCGTTATCACTACTAGAAAAATGGTCTATAGTGACACTAAATAAGTGTCACAAAAAGTTTTTTTGACACTAGAAAAGTGTCAAAGAAGGTCGGGAATTGTGACACTAAATTTAGTGTCACTCGTAAAGTGTCACTAATTTTTAAACACTAAGGTATCATAAAAAATTATGACAAAACAATATCACTTTATATTTTGACACATTAGTATCAATTAAATTTACGATACATTGGTATCACACATAATATATATTAATTATAGGAAAAATTGAAAATAATAATCCCAACTATTGCCGGTCCGTTGATAATAATCCCAACTATTAATTATTTTTGTATAATCCCAACTATATAGACCCTCCGCCAATAATGGTCCATGACCAGATATTACCTCCTAAAAAAGTGAATTTTAAATAGAAATTAAGTGTAAAAATTAAAAATTGGGATTATTTATAGGGATTACTTGCTATATCTCTCCTCATCCACTTTAGAAACTACAAGAATTTATTTATAGGGACCACTATTGGCGGAAGGTCCCTGAAGTTGGGATTATTCTGAAATAATCGATAGTTGAGATTATTATAAGCGGACCGCCAATAGTTGGGATTATTACTATCAATTTTTCCTTAATTATATATTTGTATATATATATATATTTATTATATATAATTATTTATACACACGAAATATAAGATTACGACTTGAAAAATAAAAATTACAGTGTATGAAAATTAAAAGGCGCTTTATTGAAAATAAAAAGAATTGTCATTTACAATTCAAATGTCATACACATTCCAACATAAACTCAACTAATTCTATAATAAACTAATTTGAGAAATGTGATTCCACCCACTCTTTGGGGCTTGGGCCAACTTTTTTCCCTTAGGCTCTCTCCAATCAATAGCTCTAACTGCAGCACCATGCTTTTCCCTTGGCTCTCTCCAAATACCTCTTCATCTTCATACCCCTCTGCCATTACTCCTACACTTGGCCCAAATACACATGCATAACAATATTGATTCAAAGCAACAAATATAGGAAAAACTAAACTCGAATAATGCAAGAAGCACTTATCAAGATTATTATGACCCAGAAAACCAAGAAACCACCTCTCTATTTTGTGTGCTCAATTGGGCATTTACACCAAGAAATTGCACATGGGACATCTTATTCAACCTCTTCAGGTATACTACGAATAATAGTACTCCGTAATAATTCTATCAGCCCAGGAGTCTGAAAAGATAAACATGTGATACTGCAAAGGTAAACATCAATTTAAAGACGAATCCAACTATTAAAAATAAATAAACAACAAAAGTATATAAGGTGGGGCTTAGGGGTGGACTCGGGCCGGTTCGGGCCCGGTTCGGGCCTGGGCCCGGCCGGGCCTCGGGCCAGAAAACTAGGGCCCGGGCCCAAACCGCCGGTGGGCGGTTCCGGTTCCGGTTCCGGGCCAAACCGGGCCGGGCCGGGCCAACCGGTCTATTTTTTTTTTTTTTTTTTGGTTCTCCTTTTTAACCCCCTACCCCTCCCCCTCAACCCCAAACCACCCCAAACCACCTCAAATGGCCCAAAATACCTAATCCAACCCAAAACTTAAAAAAATTTCAAAAAAAATAAAAATAAAATAAAATCCGGCCTGGACCGGGCCCGAACCGGCCGGGCCGGTTCACCAAAATCAGGGCCCGAGCCCGAACCGCCATCCCACCGGGCCGGGTGGCCCGAACCGGTGCACCAACCGGTTGACCGGGCCGGTCCGGGCCCGCACAGTAGCGGGCCGGTCCGGTTCCGGGCCGGTTGGCCCGGCCCGAGTCCACCCCTAGTGGGGCTTCTCAATTTCCCTCTCCAAATACATGCAAAAACCTGTGGGGCAATGAGAAAAAAGATTTGATCTTTGAATAAAGAAATCCATGGAGTCATGATTGAAGTGCAGGTATGCAAGCACAATAAAAAATAACTTTAAATTAAAAAGACTCAGAGTGCTAGAGATCCAGTCTTTTGGTGTGTACCTGCAATGGGCCTGCTTCCTAGAGATGATATATTTTAGGAGTTGTTTATGAGAGGGGTTTATGAGGTCTAAATATATTTTAGGAGTTGAGAGTGACAATGTTTTCAAGTGATGACATTAAGCTTTGTGATATTACTCAAGGAGAGGGGGGGGGGGTGAGCCTAGAGTAGAGGAAGACTCCCTCTGCTCTTATCAACTCATACCAGGGTAGGTAGTGAAAGTAGAAGTGCAGTTCCTATTGATTCATGTTTGACAATCCCTAAAAAGCGTCTGATCAGATTAGTCCCTGCTCAAAATAAGTATTTTTTATAGTCAAATGGGTATATATGATACATAATGAAAATTATTTAGTCAACCAAATAAAATGCATCAAAACCAACACACCAGAGATTATTTTGTAGATCTGCATATGCATTAAAGAAGCCAAATTATAATAATGCCCAAGAGGCTGTGAAATGAGATTAAAACAAAAAATGCCAATACATCAAACACCTCACTGGCATAACTATAACTCACCGATCAATTTATCATAAAATCATAATTCTTCACTGAAGAGAAAACCAATTCGTATCACCAAACTACAAGAAAGTAAAAAATAATAAGACATAATAAAGACACCATGTTTCATTACCTTGTAAGAAAAGGCAAGACCAAATAAGTTGTGATGAAGTGCAAAGAAAATTCATAGTTGCTGGACACATAAGGCCTGAAATATTAGTATTCAATCAGATAATAATATGGGATATTAAAGAGGAATAAAATGGGCAAAGTTCTGCAAGCAACAGAGAAAACGAATGGAGAAGTTCATTTGAGTACAGAATAGTGGCAGAGAAAACTGAATTGAGAAGCTAGCATAACTGAATTGAGAAGTTCATACATGTAATAGACAAATTACCATCACTTAAAAATCAAGTAAGCTCCCTTAAACCAATTGTATCATGTAAGGACTACCATGCCTTTTGTCTGTTGCTAAGTTGTTTCATTGCTAACATATAAAGTCATTACGAATATGAGAAAGTACTAAGTTGAATGATCCCAAACAAGATCCAAAGTTTCAATGGTTTTACACTTTTACAAACATAAAAATACTATATATACTTCTAATCTAAAGTTAATCATAAACAACATTAAGATTCGTACATCAAAAACTTCTCAATACACAAAACAATAATTAATTCAATCTTTATGTGACCCTGGCGGCCTGGCCTAATGACTTTTCAACATGAGTTTCAATCAATTCCAAATCAAATACTCTCTATAATACTATTTAATACATAAAAAGATCAGTCTTTCTCATTGAGACTATGCCCTAGAACTAATTACTAAAAAGTTAATTTCAATTTCAGCCTACAAAGTTTTAAACAATTAGAATTTAAGAATTTCAATTACTTCAATTGTGAAGTGAGAGAACCTGATAACTTGAGGAAGTCAATCAGAAGCCTTGCACCTGAGATTTCTTTACTTGAGGAGGTTGATCGGGATTCTGGCTGTCTGGGCGAACTCACCAGCAATTTCTTTAGAGGCGGCTCTGTGTGGAGTCTAAATAGAGTTAAATGACTCCAAATTTGATAACCCTTGACAACTCGACAACCCTACTACCTCTTCAAAAACTAATTGACTGATCCAGCCAAAGCAATTCGATTGCACGAGCTCAAGAAAAGCGCCGCAAAAGCTAGGCTTGCTCACGCACCGTCGCTTCTCAAACCCCAGATTCAATTCGTTTAAAAGAAATTAACTCTGAAATGGTAGAAATTAAGTACATTCAAGTATAAAAATCGAAGAATCAAAGAGGTCACTGCACACTTACCTTCTCGTGTTTCGCGTCGATGAAGAGGAAGATTATCTCGTGTTTGTAGCGAGAAGAGAAGACAAACGCAGAGAACCACGTAGCAGAGAAGAAAAACGCAGGGGCCGTGTTTGTGTATCAGTTCAAACGTGGATGAAGGAGTAGGCCGGCTAGCTAGATGGTGTTTTACGCTTCATTGTCTAAGTCGCGAGTCCGGCTCCTCTCCAGTACCTACGGTAATGGACATCTCCATTACATTAATTAGATAGCTGCCACATGGCCACTTACTAAATCAATGGCCAGGATTTCATTTTTGTTAATATTGCTCCCAATTTCTTTTTTAATTGTTATAACAACTACACTACGCACTCTTATCTGATCAAACCATCTCCGGAAAAAAACCCGCATGACTAATCCTGGCTTATTCTTTACTGCCTCTGCTCTTTGAATTTTTTTCTTGATTCTTCGCTAGGGAGGATGGAGAAAGAATGCTTTCAGCTCTACATCAAGAAAACATAATCTATATGTTTGTCAACAATAAAAGAGCTGATTTGTTGATGATTTTGGGGATGGAAGTAGTTCAATTTAATTTTAGCTAATTTTTTCTGTAACAATACATGATGGATAGCAGTTTGCAGCTTATATTTAATTGAAGGTTGAAGCTTTTTGTTTATTCGTTAATTTACGTTATAGATATCAGCTTGAGACTTTTGATGATTATTCAAACTACAATTTTTTAAAAAATTAGACATTAAAGTGCTGGTTGTGACTTTGATGTTTGTTTCTTAATCTATTTCATGAATTATTTGCAGTAAAGATGATAGCAGATGGAAAAGAGAAGAAAATCGAATGGGTAAGTCAAGGGTAGATAGAGATGACTCTAGTGAGACTGGAAATGTTAAAAATTAGAAGAAGAAAAATGGGCCCAATAAATACTTCGAAGAAGTAAAAGACTTCAGGGCATAAACCAATTAAAAGGATAAGAATGAGATCTGGACCTTTGATTTAGTAAGTAGTCATGTGGCAGCTCCCTATTTAATCTACTGGAATCATCCAGTACCGTATGTACTGGAGAGGAGCTGCACTCGTAAGTCGCAGGCTAGGGTTTTACGCTTCATTGTCTGAGTCGGAGATGAAGGAGAAGGCCGGCTAGGTATGTGCATGGGCTTAGACCAACAAAATAAAAAGTTTAAGGGAAAAAGTCTATTGTTGTGTGGTGGGGCTCATATTGTGGAGAGAAAAAAGGAGAGTGAAAATTGTGGAGTAAATTAAAAAAAATCGGCTCTTGTATCACTATCTTCCTTGATACTAGAGTGTCATGAGTTACCGACACTTTTATGTTTAATTTTGGTCAGTGACACTAATTTTAAGAAAGTGTCACTAAAAAAGTGTCATTATAAGCCAGTTTTCTAGTAGTGTATATTATTTACTACGTATATATTAGTGTATATTAGTTATATTAGTTATAATCAAAATATACATATAACTATGTAGGTGGGATATTGTAGGTGGGATTTGGATTCCAGTAATCATCCATCAACAAACGGTGTCCAGCTTCCCGACCACGGTCGTCTATGTAATCACGACTACTATTGGAGCTTGTTGCAACCAAAGAAGCCATCAAAGCCATGCGCATGCGGTCGGAATAAGCTTCTTCATCTTCATCTTCATCTTCATCTTCATTAATGGATTTGTAAAATGCGGGAAAAGAACTCATGATGTTTTTGGCCTTGTTGAAAATGGGAGAAGTAAAGATGAGGTGTGTGATTCCAATGTCAAGTGAGGCCATGTATTTATAGTAATATAGTTCTTTGATGTTCACACCAAGTGGAGGATACATCCAAATTAATATGTTTGGACCAAGTGGAGAATAGCATCCAATGTGGTATGGAAGATTACACATGGTGGAAAAGAGAATCCAATGTCATATAGTGTGCTATGAAAGGACACAAATAATGGAAAAGAGAATCCAATGTGATTTGAAAAGATACAACAAGTTGAGAAGGGAATCCAATGTGTTATGGATAGACACAAAGTTGAGAAGAGAATCCAATGCTCTAATGTGTTGAAAATCACTCAGGAAAAAACGTAAAAAAAAAAATAATGAATTTTTTTTTTACATCGAAATGTGTCTTTTTTATTTTATGATTAATCAGAGAAAAAATTAAAAGGAAAACATTACTTATAATAATTTAATTAATGTTTTACTAAATTGATATGTAAAAAAATGTGCAGAGTGTATTTTATTGACGGTGCTGGAATGCAGAGAATAGGAGTCAAAACACTGTTTTCATATCGACGGAATCCATTTTTGACATTTAGACTCTTGCACCACTCCAAATGGTCTTAGCAATTCAAAGTATAAATATTACTTTCAGAATTATTTTGACTCATACGTCATGCCTAAATTATCGTCAATCTTGCACACGTCTCGATTGAATCAATGAATATCTAAATTAATTCAATCAACAAAATTCGTTCCTACATTATTTACATTTTATCAATTTAATACCAAATACACAATTACATTTTAAAAAATAATCACATAAATTTCATTGAGGGGGACGAAGATAGTATGTCAATTGCTATGAATGATTTACTACGGCCTAAGATCAACTCAGTTCGATTAATCCTGTTTAAATCCTCTGGAGTGCCGCCTAGGAATGCTTAAAGTTTGCACAATACTTTTTGAACAATCCCTAAAACATTATGCAACATGTGATTACCTAGACTAGGCTCTGTTTGCAATCACTTGTGCTTAAATAAAAGTACTTTTTGGGAAAAAGTGATTAGTAGTAAAAGTCGGTAGTGTTTGGTAAAATAAGTTTTTTTTGTGTAATAGAAAAAGTAAAAAGTAGATTCTACACGAAAACCGAGGAAGTAAAAATTGATAGTGTTTGGTAAAATAAGTGTTTTTTTCTTAAAAAAAAGCCAAAATCACTTTTTTAATTGATTGCAAGCAAGCCCTAACTAGTACTAAGTACTTTTTTAGTCTAAAATATATGTAATTTTAGGATGTTTTTACTTAGACTGTAATTTGCTGGTCTGGTCTGGTCTAATCTGGTCTGGTCTGGTCTAATCAGGTCTGATTTCTTTGTATTTTAAAAATTTATCAATGCACACTATGAGTATACGAAGTATAATGCAATGCACATATGTATAAATTTAAATTTTAAAAAGTAATATGGACCCATAATCCAGTTGCTTGCAATCTTTTCGATTCGCTTGCGTTCTTTTCGATTCGGAGATATATTTGAATTGAGTAGGGGTGTAGTTTGAATTGAATCAAGCCAAGTACAGAGAAAGGAATAAATCATAATGGAGTAACTTGGAAATTGACTTGTTTGATTACCATCATACCCTTATGCAACGGCCAGGAGGCTGAGGTAGCGATCTAGAGGCAGTGGCGATGACTTGGATGCGGCGTCGTGGAATCGAAGCGACGACATCACGACCCGAAGGCGCCATCTGTCATCTTCACCATAGTTTTGTCGTAGGAGGCTTTCAGCTTGAGAGGACATTCCAAACTTTTCAACTAACTTTAATCACTTTTTATCGCCATAAAAATTATTCAAATTTGTCCGTGGAAAGTCTAAAAGTAATATTTGGGTCATTTTTGCATGAGTTTTTCAAATTTGAAAATAATAAATGTATTAACATTCTGCCAATAGTGGAATATCTTTCTTGCCAAAATAATAATCAACCATACAAACCAATTTGGGGCGTTTGGTGATAGACAATTTGTAAGTCCTCGCAAGTGCACGAGTCGCGGTAGTCAGGGACGGAGCCAGGATTGGATTGAAGAGGGGGCTGGGGTGAAATAAAAATAATACGGAGTACTATAATTCCTCAGTCCTATTGGATTTGGCTTAGTTCACGATAGGTGTAAAATAAGAAAAGTAAAATTGAAGTTTGTGTAGGTAAGAGAGAAATAAGTGGAATCACAAATTCACTGTTCTAAATGAAAAGTGACAAGGTTTTTTGAGCAAATGAAAAATAAAAGTTGGCAAAATACCACAGCAAATAATACATTATTATAATTTCTAAATCATAGCATCTTAATTATTATCTAGAAATTAACTATTGAAACAATGAAGAATAACATAGTGGGGGGAGCAAAAGTACAAAAAAACTAATACTACTAATTTAAAAATGAAAAGCTGGGAGGGGCCATGGCCCCCCTAGCATAAGCTATAGCTCCGTCCCTGGCGGTAGTACAGTGCTCAAGTAAGGGTCGAATCCACGGGGAAAATGCAACTAAGTAATTAGAAAGCTATTAATAAAAATAAAAGTGAAATTAATCTAATTAAAAAATATGAGTTTTGAGTTTGTTTGATTTAAAACTGAAAAGCGAGGCTTGAATTAAAATGGGTGCAATGAATTTATAAGACTTAAAATAAATTCATTGAACAACTAACGGGAATTTTGTTGAGAACTAAGCAAGAGAAAAAAGTAGTCCAGGATTATGAATCAGTCCCTAAATTTTAGTATTTGTGATTTAGTTAGTCAATTAGAATTGAGGGTTCGTTCTAGGCAAAAATATGACTATTCCGTATGGCGTCCAAAATAAGTCACGTACTTTAACTATTAATTAACAGGAAATTATTAATTCAATAGTTAAAATCCATTAATCACAAAAGAACGACGGAAACCCGATTTAAGAACCAAATAGATAACCTAACAAGACAGCCAAATAATCTATTCTTTTATCCAAAAGAGCTCGAATTAATAAGTATGACATGTACTCTATTAATCCACTCAAACAACTTAATTAATCATGCTAAAGTTAGCCAGAAATTAACACAACCAATTAAGCGAAAAAGAACCATGGATAAAACTCAACCAATTGACATAACTAAAATCACAATTCATACTAAATCATACCAACTTCATCATACTCCTAGACCTAAAGAATTTAGCTACTCATAATAATGTATAAAACTATTAAAACTGAAGGAAACAGAGAGTTGGTGTTGACCAATTACTTCCAGTTCTCAAGCAAAGAAACGAAAGCAAGTTTGTAAAGGAAATAATGTAAGGAAGTTTGAACACTGATTGAATCAAACCGGGACTTTTTCGGAGGAAGAATTTCTGGAATTGGCGACTTTCACGACCAAGAAACCTCAGAACCGCTGCACTCTTAACTCCAGCAACTCCGAGATTAGAAGCCTGCCGCGTTCCCTGCTGCGTTCTCCTTACAGTCCGGCTTATTTTCTTCTTCCAAAACCCTCGTAATAGATGGAGCTGAACGAAAAATAGAGCAGCCCCTAAACCCTCTCCAGCTTCTTCTTTGTTCTTGGGTTTTTTTTGTCCTTTTCTTTCTCTTTTTGGGTTGCAGGTGCGGCTCTATAAGTCTGCACTCTAATTTGGACTAGATCTTTTTTCTCTTGTGATTGCTGGACTCCAACTGTAATTTTCTTTTGCTATTGCCATACAAATTAAGAGGAGTAATCCTCTTTTTCTTTTTGATGTTTGCTGCGCAGGAGCCTTTCTCCAAAACAAAAAGTATTTGGCTCACTTCTTTTTATTTCTTATCAACCCTTGGAAAAGGAAAAATCTCCACAAATCAGTCCAAAAGTCCTCAAATCCCTTAATTAAAGTTCTCACCTATAAAAATCATTTTTATCACAAAATATAACTCAAACCTCTCAATTAGGTAAAAATGAGCTTAGAATTGTAATAAAATAATATAGAAATGAAGCACAAATTCTAGCTCATCATTTGGTTGTTTTTTTTTCTCTTTTTCAACTTTGTGATCTCATATTGGACAAAGAAAACGCACAAAAAAGTAGTCTTTTAATTTCTACCAAGAAAATCTAGTCTTTTGATAAGTTCGTATTTAGACACGCATTTAATGCGATGGGATTCAAGTGCCCATCTCTGAGATTGAGGAGGAAGTACTCCCTCTGAGCTTGAAAGAGGTAATTTTTGCACATTCACATTGGGGCTCTTCCCGTTATAACTTTTGATGAAATGGTTTTAACATGTTCTTTATCAAGTGAAGTCAATTAGTTAAATTATTGAAACACACTACACTTTAGATATACATAAAGTGAAGTATATTATCGAAACACGGTATTGGCATTGATTTGGAATGCATCTTTGGCAGAGATTATCTTTCCCAAAAACTATAGTGGATTTAACAGATTTGTTATGATCGATGTCGAACTTGATGAATATGTGCATATTCAATGCCACTACGGTTGTGTTTGTAGAGTTAAACTCTACAGACAAACACTTATGTACAATACATATATAGCTCATATTAAGCTTAGTCAGGAAAGAAATCAAGAATATTAGTGTAAGCTTGCCAGTATAATAAATTAAAGAATTATTTTATGTTAGCCTAAAATTTAGGCATGCGTGGTAAATAATTTTGTATAAGAGTTTATCTTTAGTACTATAATCATAAGAGTATATTTCACCCCTTAAAGGAACTCATTTACAACAATTTGAACAATTGAGAGGTGACATTTACAAACTTGAAAATAAGGGTCTGACGTTTCAATATGGTGACTATTTCAGGGACTAAAAGTGCGTTTTCCCCTTTTTCAAAGATAAAAATTTATGGTGTTAAGTATACCTATAATTAAAATATTTTAAACATTATAAGGACTGGTACATATAAAGAATTGTTGGAGGTAATACACAAGTCGTAACATATTAGGAAAATGTTTAGTATACACAAGTTGTACACAAAACCCCCTAGTTGCCTGTGTACATAGGCAATTCATTTAAAAAGTGGCAGGATTTGATGTCAAATGCCTGTGTACACAGACAATGTACACATTTTGTGTACATCTTGTGTACACCAAGAATGGTCCAACATATTATGCCTTCACAGCCCCACAAAAAGTAACGATTGTGTTGCATTGACTTAATTGCAGGCGGTGACCTTTCTGAAGGCCGCACTTGTCTCCCCATCAGCAGCTCTTTCTAAAGGCTTCGGGCTGGTTCTTGAAAAAGCAGGAAGAAGAGTGTTCAGTCATAGATGGTTTCGCA